AGACCAGCACCTTCTTGATGCTATATGAACATCCACCTCGCTCTGCCATACCCAAATCTTAGGACAGAAAATAGGGAGTGCAGATTTTCTTCCTGAATCAGCATTGGCTCCTCTGCACACCATCTCTTCTGCTCTCCATGCATTGTAAACAGTGGTCTTTTGGGACCAGTGCCATACCTGTTCCATAGGCCTGGGACCCAGAGGACCATGACACTGGATTGAGTTTCAGGGGTTTAGTGGCTGTGTCTGGCCTGTGGTTTTTCAGAAAATTCTGTGAAGGAGCAAAAAGGCCTGATCCGGAAGGGTCCTAGATCGATTGGTCTTTGGTATCTGATAATATCTTCAGTGATTTATGAGGCTTGTGGACTGTCTGCCTATTATGATATTCAAAGCAACCTAAAGAATGTTTATGCTGCGTGCGGCCTGCACCAAAGTCTAGGACATGACCTTTCACCTAGGCCAGCCTTCTGAAGTCTCAGGTGGCTGGCACAGTCTTTCGCTTACATATCCTGAAACATTTGCATGAAAGGTCACTAACAATGAAGAGAACCCTGCTGAGGGTTTTTCTTCTGAACTCCTTGGGAGACGCATGCTCTGAAAATTACAAAGGGGGCTTCATATGAATTACTAGAATTACTTGTCTACAAAAAGACTTTACAAGGAAAGACGTTCTTCAAGCTCTCATCTTCCTCTCCTCCTCCTCTGCTCGGATAGCTCAAGTAAAACGCAACATCCACTCACTTGAAATACCACCTCCTCTAGCCTGTGTTTGGACTTGTATAGTTGTGCCCAGCTTCTGGCCCCATTTTTGCTTTCTCTGGCAATTTCCTGGCAAGAGCGGGAACGAGCAGACGCTAGGAGAAGTGGCCGTGACGGGCCTTTCTGTCCACTCATGCTTCCCCTCACGTCGTGGCAGGTGGGAGGTGCCTGACCCTTGCTGTAATCATGTGTTCACTCTTAGCTGGGCTGACCATACCGGAAGGCAAAATCCACCTCCGACCAAACATGAAGGCTTGTTCATGAACCATTAATGATGTAATTTCACTTGAAATAATGGTGTTTTGTTTACACATACAAACGAAGTGAACCTATAGGAGGACAGGTGATCTTTCTGCACTTACCACAGGGTAGGTATCACGTTCTAGTGACCTCTTTGTCTTTGTTGTACAGATGTGGCTGAGGCCTAGGGAAAATCGATACTGTTTATTTCAACTGCCTTAACGATCATCCTGTATTGAAGATGAGACTTCTCTTGAGTACTGCTGACGGTAGTCAGGTTTTGGTTTATGTGCTCAGTGTTGTTTGGTGAACACTACAGATGCACTGGTACGTGGCTCTCATGATTTGATGTGTAGGAGAATGTCATTCGACAAAGTAACTTTCTCGTGGCTGGTCCATGCCCTGTGGATGCTCTGGGCCCTGGACCCTGCAGACCATCCCATCATTCTCTCTCTCTTCTGCCAGCAACTCTTCATTACCCATCCTCTGACCCTCCACCTCATTCTTTGTGCTCTTATGCCCCAGAGGCTATCCCTCTTATGTCATAGAGGCTGTCCCTTATATGTCACAGTGGAAATAGAAGCTCCTGCTGTAAATCACTGCATTCCACCTGCACCCACCTTTTCTTCCTGGCCTCCTGAGCCAGTGAGGGAGGAGTCCTTCCTTACATCCGAGGCTCTGGACCCCATCCCCACTCCCCTCACCTTCTCAGATACTTTCTCTCTCTGTCCTCACACCTCTCATACTCCATTGACTTATTCCTCTGAGCATTTAAACCCACTCAAGTCTTTCCCATTGGAAAAAAAACACCAGCCTTCAGTATTGTCTTGCCTTTCAGTTGCCTCTCTATTCACTTCTCCTGCCAGGGCCAAACTTCTGGAAAGCATTGTCTGTATTTGCTGCCTCCACGTCCTCAACACACGCCTAGTCCTTGGGCCCCTCCCATCCGGCTTTTGCACCTGTGGCCAGACTGATCTTGCTCTAGCCAAGGCTGGAGTCACCTTCTTATCCTCCCAGTTGCCACATCTGCCAGATACTTGGATTCTTATCTTCCGTGACCTCCCAGCAGTGAACAGTGTTTGTTGTGCCCTCCTCCCTGGCCTTCCAAGACCCTGTCTTGCCCCTCTGGCTTTTTCTCCTCTGTGTCTTTGGCAGGTTCTTACTATTTATCTCTTAGTTCCGTGCCAGTTGGTCATGTCCACTTCAGTGTCTTGCTGACACTTCATATCCAGTAGGTTTCAACTGATCCAAGTTACCCAAGCCTGAAACCCATGAGTTAGTATCAACCTTTCTCCTCGTTTTCCATATCCACTAAGAAACCAAATCTGGTCAAAATTCTGCACTCAGCAGTTACCACATTAATCTACTTTTTCTGTCTGTGGTGTGTCCTTTTTGGTTACCATCACCTTTAACCTGAATTATTGCATTAGCAACTGTCTCCCCAGTGTTGGTGTTCTTCACCAGTCTTTTCTCCTGACTGCATCAAAGGGATGCTTCTAAAAAGTATCCTTATCTTGTCATTTTTTCTGCTTAAACTCTAACCCACTTCTACAGTGTCCTGCACCCAAGTTGATGGGGGCCTCTAAAGAGTATCTGTTCTCACCCTGTGCCTAAGTAGGTCATCAGAGCACTAAAAGGTTCATGGGGAGATGGAGAGGAGAGAGGTATTTCCCCGCCCACACAGCAGAACTCAATGAAATCCCAAGTAGGCATTAACCACTCCGCCTTCCCAAGTTCCCAGTCGGGGGCTTCACATCCCCTCCATCCCTTCCGCAACTCTCCCTTCCATGCTTCCCAGCCTCAGCCTGTCCCACCTATAGTACCCCTCCCCTCTCTCTCCCCCTTTTCTTATTTAGAGCAGCTCAGCTCTTCCCTGAATGTTCTGAATCTTAAGTTCCATCACCATCGTGTCTTAGTGTGGGTTCCCCTAGAAGTGGATTCTGAACAAGGATTCAGTCCAGTCTGACTCCACTACTTAAGAGCTGTGTGACCTCACTGTCCCTGATTTTTCTCATCTTCAACATAGGGTGATGATAATCCTCATACTTTATAGGACTATAATGAAGATTAAATTAATTCATGCATAGAAAGAGCTTAACGCTGTTTGGCCCAGAGTGGTGATCATAAAGCTTGCTGCTATAATAATAATAATTACTATTATTATTAAAATGTCGCTTCTTGCAGGTTTCCACCCCCGACCTACCTAGACCAGATCAGAGCCCCTTCTTAAGTGTACTGGTAGCACCCTTTGTTTCCTTTTCATTGTAATTGGTTGTTTGAAGAGGAAAGGAGAGTGACGTCTTGTCTACCGCACAGCACCTAACCCAGTGCCTGGCACAGTTATGCACTCAAATGTTTGCTGAATGAAACAAATGAATCGAATGACTTGTAGAAAGAACATTCTAATTATGCTATGCTTCTTACCTTTAAAAACGCTGCCTCTTTAAACATTAAAACATAATTATTCTCTAGGGATTTGTCTTAAATCCAGCATTAGCAGAGTGACGTTGAACAGTCTTCTCTGGACCTCTGTGTCCCTATACAGCTCTAAGGGCATGGTCCAGCACCACAGCTGTTTGATTCTATGATGATAATACAAATAGGTGCGGGGTACAGTTTTAGGACACACAGGGTTTCCCTTATAGTTACGTTCTTTTCTGTTAGGTGATGAGAAAATGCCATCATTTGCTTGGACTTGTAGGTTCTTCCCTAGTTGTGGGGAATTTTCAAGCTAGCTATAATGAGAGGGTCTCAAAAAACCACAAAGAGATCTGGTATGTTCTCTTCGAGTTAAACACAACGTCCCTTCTTATTTTCACTTTTGATCTTCTATGTTTCTGAGCTGACGTCTATAATTATATTTAAAGAATTTAGTATCAGAAGTAAGGTCTGTTTTGATGCCGGCACCCTTAGCATCCTTTAAACGTTCTTTCATGCTAAATCAGAAGGCCTTCTTCAGGATTTCCGATTAATGTTTGCTTGATCCTCCTCTCTTGATACTTGTTTTTATGGACTCTGCCTCTCTTTTTTAGCCACTTACCACCCCTCCTCCATCGACCTTTTTGGTCATTTTCCTAATCGTATCCCCACTGTTGAGATCCTTATACCTAGTGGGACCCTCACAGAACTGCTGTGTGCAAAAAACAGCATGACAACGGAGACGTACTATCTCCTCCCACCTCCAACACCCACCAGTTCCTGTTCCCTGAAAGCATACCAGTGATTCCTAAACTTAAAATTTGAAATCCCTTATTAATAGGGCAGATATTTGTGACTGTTGACACTCTTTATTTTGAAATTAACTGTTAATAGTAGCTGTTTCTGGATTTATCAGTCCTGTAATTGTAATATTGTTAGCTATTTTTGTCTCACTATGAAAACAGTATGTAACAGTTCTAGAAAACTTGTGAGCTATAGAAAATTATTACACACAATAGCACTACCTAGAGGCAGCTGTTAACGTTTTAGGGCATCGTCTTCTGATCTTTTTCATTAAATTTTTATGTATTAAACATCATATTGTTTTGTGCCCTCTTTTTGCACTTAATAATAAAATATAAGTATTCCCTTGTTAAAAAATCTTTGTAAATATTGTAATGATTTTATGTGACTAAGAAATACATATGATGGAGTTCATTAGCTTAAATCATATTTTTCCAGTTATAAAAATAATATGTATAACATGTTTCTTATAATCTTGAAATGGTGAACTTCTCAAGATTCTAAAGAAACAACAAAATCTGACTTCTCTACCTCCCCCTCCATAAGCTTTTTAAATGTATTCTCCTCCAATCTGTTTCCTAATAATCTCCTTTCCCCAGCTACCTCTTGGGTTTAAGAATTGAAGAAAGACAAGCTAGTAATCAAGAAATAACCCAGAACCCATTCTTGTCACTGACCTTGCTCTGCCACTTGCCCAGGGTTATACTTAAAAAAAAAAAAAAAAAAAAAAAAAGCTCGTTGACATTGAGTCGATTCCAACTTTCAGCACTCCTGTAAGCCAGAGTAGAACTGCCCCCATAGGGTTTCCAAGGAGCGGCTGGTGGATTTGAACTGCCGACCTTTTGATTAGCAGCCAAGCTCTTAACTACTGCCCCAACAGGGCTGCCCAGAGTATGGTAAATAAATAAATAAATAAATTTAAAGACTGAAATAGAAATAATAAACACACTTCGAAAAGTGTCATGAAAATCATGGCTATGAGTTACAGTTACCTATCCTCAAACATGTTAATTTCTTATTATTAGTATTATTACTTAACATATTAATAACAAATTGTATTGGGAAAAAAAACAGCCACAAGCCAAACCTTTGAATTTCAAAGATGTTTATATGAGTATAAATTGTTTTCGGAAAGTAGCACAAAGGTTGTCTTAATTATAAGTCATCTATTTGTCAATCCAATGTACTTTATTAAAGTGTTTTAATATTCATCTCTCACTTTTTGATTTCTAGAGGAGAGCAAGCATAGTCTGATATCTGTGTCATAACTTATATAACCTACGAGGAGAATTCAGATATTACTCAATGATGACCTAGGACAGGCTGAGATAACCCAGATGAATATTTCTATTTCATTTCCGTTTTTCATCTGAGGATACAGTTGCTGTAATAAAATACAGTGACCACTTGACATCTCTAGAACTTGTGTGGAGTCTTGATGAATTTGAGCAATTTTCCTCTTTGTGCTCCAGGAATACCCAGCACTACCTGTTAATTTATTCATAGCCAGAGCTGGTGTTTCGTTTGCTTATGTTATGTATTGCCTGGTCTTCGAATAATATTGAAAAATAGTCTCTAAAATAAACCTTGAATGGATGTGATGGTCAGAGAAACTGTTCCTTTGGTGAACTTTAGTTTCTTACTGTGCATTGATTTGCTCTCTTAATATTTTACAAAACGGCCCTCGGGGCTTTTTTCCAAGGCTTATATCCCAGAGACGGTGTGTTAACTTCTGTGAAGTTCCTTGACTTAGTGTGCTGGCCCGCTGCATCATTTTCTCAGCTCTGGGTCACATGATTCCTCCGTCCAGAACACACGCACTTTAAATTCTCACTTCCTGATTGAGCCATCAAGATTACGTAAGATGTAAATCAGTCTTGATACCTCCGAGCCGGAATTTTAAGGGGAAAATGCTGTTTTCCTTTTCTGTTTCATTATTGACCCCTAAAAACCGGAGTGAGTGTTTGCTGACCTATTTGTGTTTGGAAATGAAAGTCTGTTCGGGGTGTTTTGTTTTGTTTTTTGTCCCTTCCCTTTCAGAGTGAATCAGACTTTGCTTTCATTATAAAAAATAAGGCACCGAGTAGCTAGACCCGTGGGAGTGGTAGAGACGCAGGACTGAAATCAAAATGGTTCCAGTGATGGAGAGAGCGATTTATGCGCTTATGGCTTTTCATGATCTGAACCAAGAGTGCAGCGTCTCTCACAAGGTAACGATTTCATGGTTCAGGATTGCCAATGGCCGGCCACGTAGCCTTTCCGCTGCCTGATATGAGAGTAATTTCTAGCAGGCAAGATGACACTTGTTTTGCCACAGATCCTAAAATCACCCCACACATTTTCTCAAAGCTATTTTGTAGTTGTCATAGTAACTGATGTTTGGAGGGTCTTTTTAGTAACTTTAGCTGGAGTTGATTAATTTTATTAACTCTGGGTGTTTTTCTCTTCACTGGTCTCTGGCAAACAAGGGGTGGAGTTGCTCAGATATGTATTTGGTGTTTTTTAGTTCTTGGTTTTCATAAGTGGTTTTAGTAAAGGAGCAAGATTGTTACTAACTGATTTCAGAGAGGTGAAACGTGGGATTTCATTACTGCTCTGTAAAATGGCACTGTCATTGTAGGAACAGGAGAATTTAGTTTCACTTTAAAAGATGGGTTATGGAAGACTTTCCCCAAAATTTCACTGTGACTCACTTCCAGTGGTGACAACTGCCCTTTGCTTTGATTCTCCTATATTTAGAACAAGAATCAGGGCACACAGGTGGGAACATGTCAGACTTAAACGGGAACATGATTTCTTTCAAAATGCAACACTCAGGACACCAAAATATGCTCCACTGAGTAAATTTTAAAAAATTGATGAATATGACGTTATCAAGATAAAAAATGCAGTACTTTTTGAAACTCTCAAGTATGCTAAAATAAATGATCCTCTAGGAAAGTTTATGAGAATTTTTTACTGGGGGAAGGTGGCTCAGGATCATCTACTGGTAAGGCTCTGTGGCAGAAATTCTTGCTAATGTGGCCGTTGGTGAGAAAGGAAGCCCCTCTTGAGCTAGAAGAAAGAATGGCCCGCTCTAGGTCTGGGGGCTGGGGCTTGAGAAGATCAGATGCATGATGCTTATGTTTTCTTGTAAAAGTGATCAGAGAGATGTGACACTTACAAAAGGTGTCATGTGAGTTTTGTGGGTTTAGGACTCTTGTGAGTCCCCTTGCTGCTCTGGGGACTATTTGTTCAGCGATGGGCCTTCGAGACGGTCAGGGCTGCAGCGTGTGCAAGCCAGCGGCCGAGAGGTGCGAACGCCAGGCCAGTGATGTCAGGAGTTAAGAGACCGCGATTTCAAAACCCTGCGGTAAACAAGGTCAAAGTGTCCTGTTTTGCTGGAGGAAGGCTTGTTTTTATGAGCGCCACAGTACATGGATGAAGTAATCTTTCAAAATAAACTTCCAATTTATTTATTTTTAATTAAAAAAAATATTAGCCAGATGAAATTTAGTATGGATTATAGCTTTAAGCAGAATTATTTTCGTCCCCTGTCTCATTGGTTTTCTATAATTTTCACAGAGGAAATGAAAATATTTCATTTCCTCTGTGAAAATTACAACCTGATCTAGGATTCTTAATGCAGTTGTCGAGACCAAGGTAGGGGCAGCCCTTTAAAAACACGGCAAATGCCAGTCGCAGTCACTGGTAAAATATTCCTTCTAATTTTAGTACCTTGGACTCGTATTTAGGCAAGCATTTAATTAAGTATGGTAATGGTTCAGGATACTGCTGAATGCGTGGCTCTTGTCTTCATGAGTTTTCCAACCTTGAGCATGAGGGTGCCAGAGGCTCAAGTCTGGATGTTAATCGGAGCAGTTGTCTGCTGGTCGCCTGGTTCCGGAGCCAACAAGTGGGTGTCCTGGCTGTGTGTTTCGTCACAACAGTAGTGGTGCCACATAGTGCCTGGAGGTCAAGTCTGCCTGTCCTGGTCGGGTTTCTGAAATGGCCTGTGAATTTGGGCATCTTTAGACGTGCAGGCATTTTGGAGTCCTCAGCAAACGTGGATGGAAGCGTAAACACAGCTTGTAAAGTGAAAGCAAGGGCCTGCAAGAGGGAATCACCATCATCTCCTTCCCGACCTGCTTACTGGACTAGAAGACAAAGTAAGTTTTGTTTTTGCCTTTGTTAATCAGTCTCTCCTACATGTTTTTTCATGCTAACATTATCTGACGCTCCCTATGTGGCAGATGAGGATGGCGCAGGACTGGGCAGTGTTTCGTTCTGTTGTTCATGGGGTCGCTGTGAGTCGGAACCGACTCGACAGCACCTAACAACAACAACATCTGGCAGATGCCAAGCTTTTTCCCCTTAGTTGGGAAGTAGGATATGGAGTTTGTTAAATGGCTAATTGCTTCTTTTATCTTTCCTATCTCCCTCCCTAAACCTAGCCTGCTGGCTTGCTTGTTAGAGATAGTTTAAGAGATTGAAATTTATTATCAGTGGAAAAAAAAGTTCTTTTTAAAAAAATGTCCAAGGACTTTGCCATTGGGTAATGACAGAGACAAGGCTTTTTAGATTGTGTAGCGAGGAGTACATCTAGCTAAGCAGTCCAAGTTCACGTCCCTTGGTTCTATTTGGCAGCAGGAAGGGTGTGCCTACAGAAGGCAGGTATGAAGTCAGAGTGTCCTATGTGGGAATTGTCCAGAAACAAGCCAGGAATGGGTCATCGACAAGAAGCCGCAATATAAAAACCTGTCAGGAAATGAGAAGGAGCCGAGGGAATACAAATTACAAATAAAAATGAGATAAAATGTATAAAGACCTTGTCAGCAGAAACTGAACTTTTCCTTGGTAATGGGAATTTTTGTGCCTTGTACATTTATAGAAATCGTGTTCATTAGCCTTTAGAAAACAATTAAGAGGCTTTGTCACCTGCACAGAACCAGCTAGTTCTGACACTTGGACCCTGTCTTCTTATGTATTTGAAATGCCGTTTTCTGTTTGTTAATTTTTTATGTTGGTCTTGTCTCCGGAGATGTTGTTGTGACTTGATTAATTTTTAATACAAAGTTGTATGGTTTTGGAAATGTAAAACAAATAGAAATGCACAGTGGTTTGTGATTTGTCATTAAATTATTCTTGCTTATAAAATAAGCTGGACTTACCACAGAATTTTCTTGACTTTTTTTCAACTTGAACAATAACACTTGGAAGGTAGAAGGAGGCCGCGTGACTGGTGGAAAGCAGAACTCTGGGGTCTTACTTCTAAGTCTAATATGGAGTGCTGTGTGAATTTACGTTAGAGCTCTGTGCTGTGGGAATTCACATCTTATCTCAAAGTGGTGCTGATAGAATTTGGGGTGGCCGTATCATATTTGGAACACGCCGGTCTCCTCACATGAGTGGTCTGTGAATTATTAATTCTGCGAACACATTTGAGAACCTACGTTATGTATAGCATTGTGCGTGGAGCTGTAACTTGTCAATTAACTTTATAGAGATTCGTTTGTAAATGAAAGATGAAGCAAGGGTAAATGAGCAGAGCATTATTGCAGAAACAATCTTGATAAAGATGGCGCCAAGAGAGCAGGGCTGTTCCCTTCTGAGTTGCCCCTCCTAATTAAAGGGGAAGGTGGCGGACGTCTGTCTTCTTTCATTCAAGGCAGTGGGGGGTCTGGGGTGGAAGGAAGCAGACCCCCCCCTTATTTTTCTCCTACTCTTTTTTATAGTCAGCTTTCTCTCTAGTCAGTGACCCAGAAAGTCATTGATGATCTGTCTATCTCAGAATGAATAGTAACGTAAGCATGCATGGCACTTGCAAAAAAGTTAATAATACACATTGACCCATTTGGTATTCTGCTTGAATTATGTCTGAGGGTATTGTGATCTTGTGTTGGCGTTTCTGCTCCTTTGTCACCGAGGGCACCATTGGCAGGGAAGATGGGGAGGGGCGTTACTTTTATTGGTTTTGCTTTTTCATGAACAAAATTGCACACCCCACTGGGGCATAATCAGAAGATAATGGTTATGTGGCCACCCAGGGGGATGTTCAGGAATATTATGCTTCTCAAAATCAGGGGCACCTGTTCATTATGGTACCGAAGTGATCTCAAGGGAAACGTAAACAGGATGTCAGCAGGTACCTGAGTTACCCAGCGGTCTGCTGCAGCTTCTTGAATCAATCGTTGGAGTCGCTCACGTTGTTTATCCTTCGGTTAAGCAGTAGCCCCTTGGCCCCTTCCTCACAAGAACAGGTTATAGGGGAAATCAGTTAGTTTGGAGTTATGGCTTAATTGCTTTTGAAATACAGAGTATTCTAGCAAACTAACTGAGCTCTCTTGACTCAGTTTCCACCTCTTTAAGTGCAAGTAATATGTGCTGCTTTTTAGAAGTATTTAAGAGAATACGAAATAATTGACATTTTCAGTCTTAGGTAAAAAACTATTATAACTGATAAGTTCTAAAATCTTTTTTTTTTTATTTTCATTCTTGCATACTTAAGCAAAGTCTTAACAGTCAACTAAAAAGTAAAAAGGCTTGGTCCTTACACATTGCATTTAGCCCCCAGACAGTAAACATGGACTTCCTGGAACATGCTGGTTTTCAGAACTCTCTTTGTGACTTGGAATTGTGACGTTTCCATAACAAATATATATCTAGAAAGCCCAAATGTGAGAGTCATGTATGTAATTTTGTTTGGAGCTTTGTTTCAAATGTGTCATCCATTGTAAAGCACTTTCTTAGAAACATAGGTGTGCTTGTGTTGTGACCCTGGGATACGAGGTGTGTAGTTTCTGAAGAGACTGGTGTCTGGTTTGCATGATTGGATGGTACCTGAAAGGTGGGTCACTTTATGGCCACTGCAGGCCACACTGTGCTGGCCAGGTGGCTCTTCAAGGCTTTTCTACTTTTCTGCACGTAATAACTTCAGATACTCAACTAGCTGTTTGGCTGACTATCCTTTCTAAAGTATGACTTAAATTAATTCAGTCTTCTCTACTCATGTATCTCATGGGGACTAAAAAAATTAATTAAATGGAGCATACCTATGAAGCATGACTGGAAGAAGTGTGGTCAGTGTTTTAACTCACATAGCATAAGACATAGGCACAGATGCGGATTGTCTCGTGAAAGTACTCTGTTTTCTGGGAAGAATTTGAGCTTTTACTTTTACATCTTTTACAAAGATGATGCCACCTTTGACGAGGACACGTGTAGAACTTTTTAAAATTTTATATTTTATTTTTTTATTGTTGTTGAGAATAGAGACAGCAGAACATACACCACTTCAACAGTTTTTGCATGTACAGTTCACGACATTAATTACATTCAAGTGGTGCAACCATACATTTAGAACATTTTGTTTACCATTGTTTCAAGAGCCTCCTGTCTTCCTTTCACAAAATATCCACAATGGTGGGAAATCTCTGTCCTTTGAGGGTAGGAGGGAGCCAGCAGTCAGGTCTGATGAATAAAGTGGATGATCAGACCACTGATCTGTCATTGATTCATGTCATGAACACTTACCAAGCCCCGTCTACATTCCAGTAGCAAGTACTGCAGGTTCAGAAGCCAGTGAGTCAGGGCCCTGGCCCTCCAGGAAGACACACGTTAGTGGGATCAGTGATGTGCAAAGAAGTAACTACAGACTGACAAGCAGTGTGACAGAGGCGCATGTGGTGTTGCTAGAGCCCAAGCAAACCAAAACAAAAAAAAGACGAAACAAACCCATTGCCCTCAAGTCGATTCCGACTCATAGCAACCCTATAGAACAGAGTAGAAGTGCTCCATAGGCTGTAATCTCTACAGGAGCAGATCTCCAGGTCTTTCTCCCATAGAGTCGCTGGTGGCTTCAACGTGCCGACCTTTCGGTTAGCAGCCGAGCATTTAACCACTGTTCCATCAGGCTTCCTTTGCTAGAGCCCACGGGGGCTAAAGTAAATTTTTAAAATAGAAATTTGATAGAAAAATGAGAATTTTTGTGTATGTGATTTACAAGTGGCTGACACGATAGGATTTTGGAAATGAAAGCCCTGAAAAAATCTCTTCTCATTTTAAGGATGAGGAGACTAGACTGGGTTATATTGCTGAAATTCTTTAATTCTCAGCCACTTTGAAAGGCTTAGGAGAAAAATAGTCTGATTCTGTCATAGACTTTCTTTTTTTGGTTGCTAACCAAAAGAAGTTGTAACTATACAAAAAGATGAAGTCCAAAAAAGGTTTTGGGCGTTGTTAGAATAATTCTGTATCCTCCAAAGGAGACTGTTTTGAAGCTGTTATTTACATGTTAAAATGCAGTAATTTTGACATAGGAAATACACCAAAGTATTCCATTTTGTATTTATTGCTAAAAATAGCTGTATACCTTGTAGGAAAAGATGAACTTGAAGCTTTCATGCATCATTAACTACAGAGAATACAGAAGGCTTCATCATACCACCTTACAGGCTGCATTCCACCAGCATAGACTTTCTGTCCTCCAGCCAATAGTCAGTGGGCTTGTGCGTAATTTCATTTAACAATCACATGTCGAATGTCGCTGTACTCTGGACAGTGTTCTAGAAGCTGACCAGAGGTCTTTGCTGGTGGGCTGCAGGCACCGGGTGCTAGTTGCCCTCAGTAGGACTCTTCATGATTCAGTAGGCACTGGCTGGTGTTTTTCCTGAGCATGACTGTGTGGCTGGGACATAGTGCTCCCCTTGGAGGGTCTGATGCTAAGGGACAGTGCACAAATGCAGAGAAAAATGTATAAATAGTAGAGAGATAGATAAATTAAACACACCACAAGTTTGTAGAAAATAAAGATCGTATGTGGCTGAGGTGATCAAGAAATACTTCATGGATTAAGTATTGCTTGGAGTGGTCACTGGAAGAAAGGACTTGAGAACTTAGAGGGAGAGTGTCCTAGGCCAAGGAAACCTGCAGGGACATATTAACCAGTAAGCAAAGTAGACACAGGCTTACAGTAAGCAAGGTATGCATCGGCTTACTTACTAATCTGTAGTAGTGCACAATTTCACATGGGTTTCACCACATCAAACAGATAGTGAAATTGTGCATTACAGATTAGTAAGAAAACACAAGTAAGCCCGTGTGTACCTTGCTTATTGGGTAATCCATCCCTGGAAACAGGAACAAGGCCTAGATAGGGGTAGGCAGTGTG